GTCCCTATTCTGCTCTGTGTCAGTGTGTATCAGGGATCCCTAGGACAGGTGTCAATCCATATCTGCCAAGTGACCTATGTAGGGGGAACAGTCTCTATTCTGCTCAGTGTCAGTGTGTATCATGGTCTCTGAGGACAGGTGTCAATCCATATCTGCCAAGTGACCCTATGTTGGGGTAACATTCCCTATTCTGATCTGTGTCAGTGTGCATCAGGGGCTCTGAGGACAGGTGTCAATCCATATCTGCCAAGTGACCCTATGTAGGAGGAACAGTCCCTATTCTGCTCTGTCAGTGTGTATCAGGGATCCTTAGGACAGGTGTCAATCCATATCTGCCAAGTGACCCTATGTAGGGGGAACAGTCTCTATTCTGCTCTGTGTCAGTGTGTTTCATGGTCTCTGAGGACAGGTGTCAATCCATATCTGCCAAGTGACCCTATGTAGGGGGAACAGTCTCTATTCTGCTCTGTGTCAGTGTGTATCATGGTCTCTGAGGACAGGTGTCAATCCATATCTGCCAAGTGACCCTATGTAGGGGGAACAGTCTCTATTCTGATCTGTGTCAGTGTGTATCATGGTCTCTGAGGACAGGTGTCAATCCATATCTGCCAAGTGACCCTATGTAGGGGGAACAGTCTCTATTCTGCTCTTTGTCAGTGTGTATCAGGGATCCTTAGGATACGTGTCAATCCATATCTGCCAAGTGACCCTATTCTGCTCTGTGTCCGTGGGCATCAGGGGCTCTGAGGACAGCTGTCAATCCATTTGTCAAGGTGTCAATATGTCATATGTCAGGTGTCAATCCATATTCATTGTGATTTAGGAATGTTAGGTGATTTCTGCCCTTTATGGATTAAAACCAGACTCTGCATCAACTGTGTAATTTTCCATGGGAGTTTTGCCATGGTTCCCCCTCCGGCATGCCACAGTCCAGGTGTTAGTCCCCTTGAAACAACTTTTCCCTCACTATTGTGGCCAGAAAGAGTCCCTGTGTGTTTTAAAATTCGCCTGCCCATTGAAGTCTATGGCGGTTCGCCAGTTCGCGAACATTTGTGGAAGTTTGCGTTCGATTATGCATAAATTTGTGCAAGAACCTGTCAAAGATGCATACTTACAACTTGGCTAAAATGTGGCCCGTTCTTAGGGAAGATATTGAAAGGTGGTGAAATTTATGGTAAGGCAGGATTAATTCGACAAAAATGACTCTCCTTCCCAAGATTTTATATATTATTAGAGCTAATCCCCTAAACATACCTTTCACTTTTTTTCGGAAGGTTCCTTCTAGTCTCCTGGAATTCATTTGGAACAAAAAAACCTGTAGGATCAAATTGGCTATTTTGTAAAAACTCAGTTTGTGGAGCTATGGGTTTACCAAATCTTATTCACTATTATTTGGCGACCAATGCTGCTGCAGCCCTGAAATTTATTATGGAGCATGCTCGTCCTTTGTGAATGGAGATGGAGGCTGCCAAAATCTTACCTTATTCCATTAAGGAGGTCTTATGGTTGCCCCCTGCTCTTTGGCCACAGATTGTGATCATGTATCCAACCACCAAAGCCACTATTAAGGCTTGGAGGATCTTATACATAAAGATTAACCCTTTCACTACCTTGTCCATAGCTAACCCCTTATAGGTGTTGTGATCTGCATTACCTAGAATATTGGCTTTCTCACTCTGTCATACATATTAATGATTTATTTTGTCCAATAATTTATGTTTTGACCAGTTACAGGCCAAATTTGGCCAGGACGCCTCTGTTGCCCCTATGCATAGACAAATGGTAAATTTGCTTAGTGAACACTTTAGCTTCTCGGATAGGGATCTTGGAGAATATAATGTGCTATGCTGATTTTGCTGGGGAACCTGGTCCAAAATTGGACAAAGTGGGAAAGAGAACTGAATATGAACTTTACTATTGAAGAGTGGAATGGGCTTCTATTGGTGCTACGGAGCATAACGCAGTCTGTGGCACTTTAAGAATCACATTACAAACTCCTATTTAGATGGTCCCTTACTCCTTCCAAATTATTTAACTTAGCCTTATCCCCTACTAATACATGCTGGAGAGGGTGCGGACAAGTATGCAAACTATTACACATATTTTGTTTGGAGGTGTCCTAAATCAAAAATATATTGGGCCAATATACACACACTCATACACCTTATTACAGATGAAATCCCACACAGTACACAGTTGTCTCCTGTAGAAATTCCCAGAGGAATTACCTGAAGTTAAAATTATTATGTTAGGTTATCTATTAATTTCAGCTTCTTCAGGTATTCCCAAGTACTGGAAGTCTGACACCATTCCATCCATGACAGAGGTCTTGTGTAGCATATTCTTGTGAACTAACCTTTAGGACTCCCTCTGTGTTTTTAGAATCGCTGAGAAAATATTGGACGAGCTGGAAAAGGGATGTTATAAGTATCATCTACACCACATCCAACCAAACAGTACTATATACAAATTATAACCCGATTCATTTTATTTTATTTTTATACAGGACTTTCTTAACCGTTACGGTTTAGTTGTTCAATATATTGTTTTGTTTGTGTTTGTATATTATATATATATATATATATATACATATATATATATATATATATATATACATATATATATGTATATGTGTCTATTTTATAGCATTGGATGATGTTCGTTACAATTATTCTCCTGTTATTATTGTTATTGGTAATTTATTTTTTATTATTGTGTTATTGAATATTCATTAATAAAAACATTTGAAGAAATTAAAAAAATAAAATAAAAGTGCAAAACAATTGTAATTGGCTGACTCCATACAAGGTGCTGCAGCAACTGAAGAAAGTTAATATAAACAAAGCTCCAGGGCCTGACGGTATTCATCCATGAGTATTCAAGGAACTAAGTATGAAAATAAGTGAACCTCTATTTTTAATCTCTCAAGATTCTCTTCTTTCAGAAAGTATTCTAGAGGATTGGAGAAAGGCAGGTGTGGTTCCTATATTGAAAAAGGTTCAAAATCCTTGCCTGGAAATTATAGATCTCTGAGCTTAACTCCTTCGGCTGGGAAAGTATTTGAAAGGTTATTAAAGGATAATATTCCTTGAGAAGAATGTGTTATCAGCAAAAATCAGCATGGTTTTATAAAGCACAGGTCATGTCAAGCTAACTTTATTGCATTCTACAAAGAAGTAAGTAGAAGTGTAGATCAGGGTGTTGCAGTAGATGTGATCCATTTGGATTTTGCTAAGGCGTTCCTCACAATAGTTAGTGTTCAAACTCAAAGAAATTGGTCTATATGAAAATTCTTGTTCTTGGGTAGAACATTGGCTTAAAAACAGAGTAGAGAGAGTTGTCATTAATGGTACCCCTTCTATTTAACATGTTTATAAATGATCTTGAAAAAAGCATTAGTACAAAATAAGATAAAAGAGGTTTCTAGCGCTTACAAAGTTTTCAAATGTGAAAAGCAACTGTTTCCCCCAAACCAGAGTCTCATTTGTCTGGTCGTTGATCTGGAGTAGAGGAGATGAAAAATTGAGAGAAGCGCCTTGGAGGGGTCGTCAAATTCCAAGAGGCATGTAGAGGGAAAAGAGAGGAATAATATATGGTGCAGTATGTCAAATTTCCAAATGGGATTTTCATGAGCTGTAAGCCATATTCATCGCGCTTATGACAAATCACGGCTTGAACTATCTTGCTTTTCATGTAATGCGTCTATCTCATATGTTAGTTTCCCCTTTTACGTTGCATTACTGAAATAAATTAACTTTTGCACGATATTCTAATTTTTCGAGTATCATCTGTATATTCTATTTTGAATGATAGACTGTTTAGAATTAATTTAAATTGTTTAATTTACTTTGTTTCTAATTTGAAATACTATATTACTAATTTTGCATCATTGTTTTCATTATTCTTGAAAAGTCTAATTCTGGTTAGAAGCTAAATTATTTTATTAGAAAATAAAGATGTGTTTTTTTTTGTTTTTTTACTTTTTAAATATTATGTTTATAATAAACAGCGGGATATCATGGATGAATTATTTGTGACTGCCAGGGCCAGATTAAGAGCCCAGTGGGCCTGGTGCTGACAATTATGAGGGGCCTAAGTACAGAATTTTATCAACCAAAAACACTAAAACAGTCATACTTCTCAAGCGTTATGTATCTGGAGGAGATGTTGCCAGAGGGGAACTCTTAAAATATGCTAATCTGTCTCTAATTCATACTTTCATCTGTCGAGTAAATCCATAATGCCCAAAGAGGAGGCAAGTCTGCCCTAAGAATTGGAAGGCTAGCCTGTCATGAATGCATGTCAGGCTGCCTGCCAATCATGCATGCTGGCCAACAGCACCCTGAGCTTGGCATAAATGTGTCTAAAGATGCGCTCACGCCATGCTTTATAAGGTCTGTCCCCTAGCACACACAAGTCCACTTGTCTCCTTACCTTTTTACTAGCAGGCAGAAGCTCCTGGTATACAGTTTGAGACAGCAAGGTGGATTTAGTGAGTGTAGAAGAAAGGAAACATGCCACAGTGTTAGAGATACCAAAGTCAGCATTGCCTTTCTTGGAAAAAAATACAGGCCTTACTAATTTGCATAACTATGTATGTGTAACATCGCATGATGTAAATCACAAGGAGTGACATAAGAGAAAATTCTGTAAAATCACCAAAAAACAACTTAGTTTAATTCTGCTATATAGATGGATTGCTCCCAGTGTCTACCTGTCTCCCAGTGTCCCATGTCTCCCATTGTCCCCTAGTGTCTGTGTCCCCATGTCTCTCAGTATCCCCATGTCACTAGGGGACACTGTGAGATATGGGGACACTGAGACACTTGGGGACATTGGGGGACACTGAGACTATGTATCACAGTGTCACTATGTATCACTGTGTCTCAGTGCCCCATGTCTCCCAGTGTCCCCATGTCACTAGGGGATACTGAGACACTTGGGGACACTAAGAGACATAGGGACACTGGAAGACATGGAAACACTGAGGCACTAGGAGACATGGGCACACAGATACTAGGGACACTGGGAGACATGGGAACACAGACACTAGGGACACTGAGACATCAGGGACACTGGCTGGGAGACATGGGGACACTGAAACACTTGGGGATATTGTGTCCCTAGTGTTTCAGTGTTCCCATGTCTCCCAGTGTCCCCATGTATGTCTGTGTCCCCAAGTGTCTGTGTCCCCATGTCTCCCAGTGTCCCCTAGTTTCTCTGTTCCCAGGTCTCATTGTCCCCTAGTGTCTGTGTTCCCATGTCTGTGTCCCTAAGTCTCAGTGTCCCCATGTGTGTCTGTGTCCCCAAGTGTCTCAGCGTCCCCATGTCTCACAGTGTCCCTTAGTGTCTTAGTGTCCCCATATCTCCCTGAAGCCTTTAGCCCATCCATCACTTTACCTGAGTTGTAGGCTGTCTCTACAGGCTGGGAGCTGCTGACTGGACTCTCTGTGCTGTGTAGCTGCTGGATCAGTGATTAGAGAGATGCAGGTATATGCTGTAACTTCCTGCCTCTCTCCACACACAGCGACCCCTACTGGTTGGAGCTGGTAATGCAGAGTAATCTCTTTATACTGAGTAAAATACAGGCATTTGTACTGTCGATATTACTGCAATATCGGCACCGGCCAGGCAGCCTCAAATAAATACTGGCCAGGTGGCAACCCTAACTGGGTAGTGTGTGTAAAAAAAAAAAAATTTTAATCAATGGGCCTATTCCATGGGCATGGGCCTAGAACTGTAGCTCCATCAGCCCCTATGGTAATCCAGCCCTCGTGACTGCAACCAATGAGAAAGAGGGAATTTACAGTTGGTCAGAACACATAATGATATATTAATTAGTGTCTGTAAAAATCTAAACGGCACAAAAAAATTAGTTATACTGTGAACTTGGAAACAAACTTGAGTTGTTTTACTAGCACTGTCTACAGTTTAACTTTTTACAAAAAGGGAAGAAACATGGCAGAAATGAAACCATTTAAAAAAAATCTGTACATCTTCATTGCATCCACAAAGTCACAATTTTATAGCAATGCATTTAAAAAACACATCAAGGGTCCATGAGACTTACTCACCGGTACATACCTTTTGTACCGGTAAGCATCGACCAAGCAAATCAATTATAGTACATTTTTTTACAAGTCTATCACACATAGGCATGCTTCATAATGTGCAAATTTTTATTTGTACCAACACTTAGAACCCTTAGCACCCACGCATAACATACTTACCAATAAGAATATATCCATAGGCGTGCGCACGGGGTGTGCCGGGTGTGCCTGGGCACACCCTAATCCCCGTGGCACGCCTATGGTTTGAGTCAGTGCCCCCTGTTTCACCTCTTGCCCCTGTCATGGGAGGGCAAGAGGTGATGATTCCACCCACCCTGCAGTTCTGCTGTCTGCTCCCTCTCGCCGCGCGCTGATGCCGGGAGCCGGAATATGACGTCATACGCAGCAGACAGCCCGCGCGGCGAGAGGGAGCAGACAGCAGAGAGCTCCCTCGCCGCGGCTGAACTGCGGAAAGGCGCCCGCCCCCACTGGACCCCAGGGAAAAGTCCACCAGCACTCCAGGTAGGAGGCTGGGTGGACATTTTTTTTTTTAAATTAAAATATAATAATTGTGTGTGTGTGTCAGTGTGTCTGTGAGTGTGTGAGTATGTGTCAGTGTGAGTGTGTGTCTGTGAGTGTGTGAGTATGTCTGTGAGTGTGTGAGTATGTCAGTGTGAGTGTGTGTCTGTGAGTGTGTGAGTATGTCTGTGAGTGTGTGAGTATGTGTCAGTGTGAGTGTGTGTCTGTGAGTGTGTGAGTATGTGTCAGTGTGTGTTTCTGTGAGTGTGTGAGTATGTGTCAGTGTGTGTTTCTGTGAGTGTGTGAGTATGTGTCAGTGTGTGTTTCTGTGAGTGTGTGAGTATGTGTCAGTGTGAGTGTGTGTCTGTGAGTATGTGTCAGTGTGTGTTTCTGTGAGTGTGTGAGTATGTGTCAGTGTGTCTGAGTGTGTGAGTATGTGTCAGTGTGTGTGTGTCTGTGAGTGTGTGAGTATGTGTCAGTGTGAGTGTGTGTCTGTGAGTGTGTGAGTATGTGTCAGTGTGTCTGAGTGTGTGAGTATGTGTCAGTGTGTGTGTGTCTGTGAGTGTGTGAGTATGTGTCAGTGTGAGTGTGTGTGTGTCTGTGAGTGTGTGTGTCAGTGTGTCTGTGAGTGTATGAGTGTCTGTGAGTGTATGAGTGTCTGTGAGTGTGTGTGTGTCTGTCTGTGAGTGTGTGTGTGTGTGTGTGTGTATCTGTGAGTGTGTGTGTGTGTCAGTGTGTGTCTGTGAGTGTGTGTGTGTCTGTGTCTGTGTGTCTGTGAGTGTGTGTGTGTCTGTGAGAGTGTGTATGTGTATATATATATATATACACACACACACACACGCGGCGTGTGTTTGTGCTTTAGGGTGCACACCCTAATGCAATAGGCTGCGCACGCCTATGAATATATCCCTTGTAGATGAGTAAATAGGCAGGTGATACCTATGCTATTAAAAAGTGTGTAGATTGGTTCAAAAGATTTGCTAATGAATTCCAAGGTATAAACAAACTACAGCAAAAAAAAATAAACATATGTCCATTTTTGTTTCTGTTTATATTTTAATAATCATATAAAACATTTACAATATCCCTTATTTTGATCATATTTAATATTACATCTTTTACAGTACTATAAATATATAGGATTTTTACATTTTATAACTTTCTGAAAAATATAAGATTGTATAGCTTAAGCCTAAGGCACATAATATTTTACTTAGCTTTGCAATGTACTAGTTTATGTTTTAAATAATGTATGAAGATTTTCACTACAAATACATACGCCACTCCATGTTATCATTTCTATAATACGAAAAGAAGTATGACGAAGACCTTGTGATTGAGTTACCTCAGCTGCATATATATTGAGTGTACAACTGTTTTAATACAGGCTTTAATTTTTTTTCCAAGGGACATTTTTAATGACTGGACAGATGTGCTACCAAGCTTATTTTGTTTAGCTCTGGGGCCTATATCTAATTTATATTATCATTAACTAGTAATGTAGTAAGAAATTTAACATACTGAAATGAATATAAATTGAAGCTTAAGATTTTCAGTGTCACTAACTGTAAAAACACTGAGGTTATTTAAAATTTAGATACTTGTCAAACTCCACTTGCCAACAGTATATCCGTTTTCTATCATGTTTATATGGACTTTCTAAAGAGGATTAATGTCCATCTTAATGTATTAAATGGATAATACAAGAAAAAAAATATGTGCATGAAACATAACTGTGAACTAAGCAAATCTTTAGGCTGTTAATAACCTTCAGGGATGTTCAAAATGTAAATCAGACTATTCAAATGCTCAAATGCCAGTCAAATTCCACATAGCCACAGTACTGTGTCTCTGGATGTTGTTTTGTTTAAAACTATCACCAGTTCCAATTCTAACAGTTGATACCACCAGTCAAAACATATTTCCTGATTAAACATGGTAGCATTTACTTATGGTTAGTTTCACCCCTCACAACAGAAAGGACAATTTGTCTGCTTCAGCAAGCCTTGATTATTTTATTTTAGACTCACCAGGATGATGTTGTAGGCCCAAGCAGGATTTAGCCTATAGTCCCTTAGGAAACATGATCTATAAGAGTTGCCTCCCTGGCTGTACCCCTGTTAGCGACCTCGGGTCTGACCTACTCTCTCTTCCTGTGGAGATGATAAAGGTTCATGGGGTACATAAAGCCAAACTAGAGCTCATCATCTTTCCCTGAATGCCAATTAACAGCAATTACATAAGGTGACTACCTGGATCTGCCACATTTATGCATACCCCTATGCCCAGGGCCTAATGTATTCTTTCTCCCACTGGTGATAACAAATGGCATATGGGGTGCACAAGGAAGCCTCTAGTTAAAGAAGTTTAGGCTGCCAGTTGTTCAAATTCTAATTTGCCACTGAAATACAGGCATGTATACAGTCCATCTGTCTCTATGGATGTTTAACTTGTGGTTTTCCCATCTCGTTAGTTAGCAGTAGTTTAGATTTCTAACTAATATAACTACCTGGGATTCTGTTCTTTCAGATTCTCACAGTCACATTCAGGGTTTCTTTTAACACATAGATAATGTTTAGGAAGTTTTTGGTGAGCAATTAGGTAAGTTTATAGATCTCATTCCATAAACGAGTGCTGCTAATAGATATACTGGCTGTGTTAAGTCTGCCTGAATGACACAATCCTGAAGAAGCAGAAAAAATCCTGAAGAAGGCTGTGTTTAAAAACCAAGTAGACGTGCTCCTATCAAGACATATGGCATTGATTACGGATACCTGTGCATTTAAAAACGTAAGAAGGTTGCTTTCAGGGAGTAGAAGGTAATATATTGTTTTGCATCTTCTTGCTTATCTTTATTAGCATATGAGAACAAGATAACCTCCCTGTATGAGCTGGTGTAAAGACACAGCCTAAGTACATGTGTCCACTATATGTTCTATATAGTATGACACAGTCTCAGTAGTACATGAGTACATTATAAGCTCTGTATGAGCCGAAGTAAAGTCACTTTCTTCATGATCATAAATAACCAGTCATATATGTGCCATGCTGATGCAAATCGTGTTGCCATGGTGACTTGTGAAACCATCGGTCACTAAGGGAACCAAATGTAAACTTACTGAGAAAACCAATGAGTTTCACAATACCTGATGGAGATCAGCTCTATAATAGGAAATTAATTAATGTTTAAAACTAATTATTAGTTATATTATAAATATAAATAATATCTGCTGATTTGCATTGTGTTTTTTTAAAATATAAGGATGGTAGTAGTTTACCTGTGCAATAAAGACCCAAAAAGTGCATGTGCAGCTAAGAAATTAATCGACAAAGGGCTAGGGCTGATCCTATATTATAAGGTATAAGGAAGATAAAGTGAATGATAATGTAAAGTGCAAAATATAGTGTACTTGCATCTTCAAGAGCTAATATAGTGCACTCTGTGTATATAATGGTGGTAATTGGTCAAATATATTGCTATAAAACAGAAAATATGCATATAAAAATTCTATACAGGGGTGATATGAGATTGTCTCATTCAATCCTTTGGTCTATACAGTATTCAATAACTAAATCCAATATGTCTCTTTGTGGAGTAACATTTTCCTT